CTTTTTTCTTGTAGTTGTTCTATTTTGATAGAGTTCAGAGGTTAGACAAAAGGCCTCCAAGAACAATTCCTATCATATCTGCATGGAATAGAGACATGGTTCTTGAGAGGTTGAAGATTGAATTAGAATTGGGATTTGGGAGAGGGAAAATTCTACCAAGGATTGCTGCAGAAGTTGAAGAAAGTCCTAAGGTTATAAAATGATCACTTTTGTTAACATAAATGTTCATTTGTATAATCTGAAATGTTCAACTGCATAATTTTTAATATTCATTCATATAGGTTTTTATGGATGATTTTGTTTCCCTGGTAAAAACAACTTGTTCAAACCTGTCAAAGCTTTCTTCAAAATTGGTGAAGGCAAAGGATATCTTCTCTGGAAATGACTTGGTGAAAAAAGTTGATGAAGTTTTAGGAAAGGTGGCAGCTAGGGAACCATCAATTCTAAGCCAAGATGAAGAATTCTTTGGCAGTGAGGATTTCCTAAATGCACTTGCACAAGCTGAGAAGAATCTGATGCAAGGGTCTGAAAAGCAAACAACTGAGAAGCAAATGACTGGGAAGAAATTAACCAAAAAGGGAAAGGAAAAAGAACAAGAATATGACATCAGAAAAGCTTTCAGCTTGGGGTTGACTCCACCTTCTCCAGCCATTGGTAAATTCTAACTAAAAGAGACTATATATCCTAATTTTTATATTAAAAATTCTAAATTTGTGGTCTAAATTGTCCTAAACAGAAACAGGGCCCACCTCTTCAACACTTGGTGATATAATTGAACAACCAATATTTCAACAAATGGTAATATGTTCATATATTTAATAATAATGTACATAAACTTAATTAGAAATGTTCATTTCTAATTATTATGTGTAAATACTATTAACTTAGTGTATCTCCAAAATGATGATTTATAATACAGCTGGAGAAAAGGATGTGGGTAAAACTTCAGCAGCTTCAGAACAAAGAATTGAAGAATTTTCTAGAACTGGTATAATGTTCAATTAAAAAGTGTAAAATGTTCATTTACAAAACAAGAAATATTCATTATTAATTGTATTTTTTTGTTAGACGCAGCAACTGGTTCAAAATTTGATGCTGACACTAGGTCAGATAATGAAGGATTGCCTAGAACAGGTATAATGTTCAATTATAAATACTCAAATGTTCATTTACAAAGAAATAATATTATATCTAATTAAATTTTTTCTTAGATGCAGGATCTGGTTCAGTGGTTGATGCTGACCCTAGGTCATATGGTGGTGAAAAAAGTGATGATCCAAAAAACACAGTTGGAGGTGGAAAACAAAACAAGGAAGATGTTTTTGAAAAAACAAAAAATGATGAAAAAGTGGAGGGGTAAAATCCTGAAGACATGTCTTACTATTAGGGTTATGTAATTAGTAAGGATAAAATATCTAGATGGAACAATTTAACTTATGTTACTATCGTGTTGTAACTTGAAACTGGAGTTTCTCAAACTATTGTATGTGTGTACATTATTTTGTTGAATATGTAATATGAATGTGTGGTTTATTTAAATCAATATTTATGTTAAATCAATATCTTTCATTTTATGAATTGAAAATGATTCAGGGTGTTACATAAGAAGCTTATATTTTATTAATATGTACTGACATTGTTTGACTTTTCAGTGAAAAAAGAAGATTGTTGCTTCATCCTCAAAAGTCACAAAAAGGTACATTATTTATATTAAGTAAATGTTCAAAAATAATAATGAACATTTTCATATACCTAAATGTACATTTGTGTTATGTAAATATGACCAGGAATGATGAAAAGAAAAAGTCAATTGCAGAAAAGAAGAAAAAAACTGAAAAGGAAAAGGTTGAAAGGTATAATTTCAAATTTATTTATATACACTCAAATGTTCATTTATTTTCCTCATAATTTTCTTAATTTAACAATATTTTATATTGAACAACAAGACCAAAACGCGAAAAGCAAACAATTCCTCCTGCTTTCCGATCTCCTTACTTGGTCAAGTACAAGGATTTGTTTAAAGATGAGAAAGCCATGAACCAAATTGCAGTAGACTTTTCTCTTGGTGGAAAAGATGAAAGGTAATTACTTACACTAATTAAACTTAAGGTTTAATATATTTTATAAAATATATATGTTCACATTCATATTATTAAATGTTCATAATGCAGTGCACTCTTATACTATGATGGCTTGAATCTCATCAATAGAAATGAAATGAAAACTCTTGGAGATGATGTTGAAGTGACAAATTGTGTCATAGATGGATGGGAAAGGTTTCTTAATCATAAAAAGCCGAGAAACAAGATTTATTTCTCAACAATGCTTCATGTTAGTCTTTCTTCTTTTTTTATATTATTTATTCTATTTTCCTATGATAAATAATTGCTAAAAATTCATTTAACTTCTATATGTTTGTTTCTATTTCAACATCACATTATGTGCACAAATAGAGTTTGTCGAGAAGGATCATCAATGAAGACAAGAATTAATGCCTTCATAGAAAGAATTGACAATAATGAACTGAAGTTGAATAAAATTGACAGCATTGTTGGATATAAACAGGTATTAATTCTTGTTTAATACAAATGTTCAATTACATTCAATATATTGTCCAATAACATTATATAATTTGTTCAGGTCTTCTTCCCAGTATCAACTTCTCAACATTTTTTTTCTGTTGTGCGTCAATCATATAGAAGACAAAATTCATATAATTGACAATAGAAACTTCCAAAACATGTATCAGTCCAAGCAAAATATGAAGAACAACCAAAAATGATGGTGAGATAATATGTTCATTTATATTTGGCTACATGATCAATTATATTTTATTAATTGTTCGTGTCTTCATCACAATACAAACTTCTAAACAATTTTTACTCTTTTTTCTATCAGTTAAAAGGATTGGCAGAGTACATGAAACACCTTAGATATGAAGATGCAAAAAGAATTGAAGACTACACAGTTGTTTTGGAAAAGATGAAATGGCGTAGCAACAATGACTATACAAACTGTGGAGTTTACATTATGAAGCATATGGAAACCTTCACTGCTGATCCTAATGAGAGCTGGATTTGTGATTTAAAACCAAACAATGTAAGAGTTATAAATGATCAATTATTTAAGATATAATGTTCATTTATGAAACAATAAAGATTGTTTAATTAAAATTTGACAATTCATTTTGTTCAACAGGTGGAACAAATTAGAAAGCTAAGGCTCCAATACACAGCAGAACTGATGTTATTTGAAGAAAACACTGAATCAAGAGCAAATAGAAGGAAAGCTAGAAAATTTGCAACTTTGTAGTTTCAAATGTTCATTTACAACTATGTATATGTTCATTTCTTATATATGACTCTATTTTTTTTTTTTAAGAAATAGACTTATGTATTTTATTTTAATATTATTGTAATTGATATTTCATTTTAATCTTTGAATGAAAGTTTTTTATATTTTATTTTAATATTATTGTAATTGATATTTCATTTTAATCTTTGAATGAAAGTTTTTTATAAGTTTTATAAATTGGATTTTGGTTCTTACTTTTGTTCATATACAAATGACTAAATAATCATTGATAAATGTAGAATTTTAAAACATATAAAATTCTAATGACTAAATAATCATTGATAAATGTATAATTTTAAAAACATATAAAATTCTAATGACTAAATAATCATTGATAAATGTATAATTTTAAAAAACATATAAAATTCTTATATAAATTTCAAATATACTAAAAATAGTACTATATAAAATATAATATTTATGTCTTTTACATAATAGATCGAAAATTCAAAATTACAAAATAGTAATTAAATCAACATTACAAAAAAGTCTAATGTTTATAAAGTTCTGGAATACTAATTATTTATCTTTATTAGCCAAACGTTTAGTTACACTTGTATCAAAAAAGGCTAACAACCTATCATACTTAGAAGAAATCTTTTTAGAACCTAATTGAACATTTCTTGATTGAAGAATTTGAACACGAGCACCTTGATCATTTCTTTGAACTGTGGGAGGAGTAACTTGAACATTCTGAACACGAAATCCTTGATCATTTATTTGAACCGTAGGAGAAATAACTTGAACATTTGTTGATTGAACATTCCTGGAGTTGGATATGATCATTTCTGGATTGGTGTTTGAACAATTCTGAGTTGGATTTTGAACATTCCTAGGAACAGTAGGTTGAATAACAACATGAGATTTTGTTGACGCACTAGTATGAATTGGAACTCTTGGATTAATTTGAGAGTAAGTTTTTAACACCAAAAGCACCTTTATTTGAACCAACATTAGAACGAGCTTGAACAGCAGAAACACCTTCAAGATTTAAATCCTTCGCCTTTAAAAAAAATTAAATTGATCATTAATAAACCAGTATATGATCAGTTACAAACACTTATACAAACAAATAAGGAAAAAAAAACCTTAGCAATAGATGAAATATCAACATCAATAGATATGCTGGATGAAAGAGAGCTTTCACTAGTAGCCTACAAAAAAACCAAAAAAAAAAATAAATAAAAAAAATTATAATATAGATCATAAATGCCAAAAAATAAAATAAATTTATAATCAATAACAAACAAACATACCTGATCAAAATCATTGGAAATACTATGATCTGATTCCTTAGAACTAGAAGGAATTTCTTCTACAACAGCTGATTTAAAGCCAACCTATATTTTTAAATTATAAAAATCAATATTAATAAAATATAAATAAAATGTTTTTTTTGGCACATTTGAATTTACCTGAGCCCGTTTATTGCTCAAAACAATCAATTCAGTGGGATCACTAATAGAATTAGCATAAGTAATAGCACAACCGTTCTCATCAAGTTCCTATTTAAAAAAAAAACATATGTGATCATTTACGAAAACTGAAATGATCAATTTGAAAATATGAAATGATCATATACCTGTACAACTGCTTGCCCTATACCCCTTTTGTAAGGAGTGTACATAGACTTTTTCCTCTTGAAATTACCCTTTGCCTTGTTGCACTGCTTCTCCAAGATACTCTTAGGCCTTACATTCCTCTTACCTTTAGGCCTAGCTTTTGGAGGATTCTTGATCTCAAGATCAACAATTTCAACCTCTTTAATAGGTTCACTAAAGTCAATTACACCTGATACGCTCTCAACCTTTTCTTTTAACAGATTGAAATAACACTCAACCTCTGCCCTTGCATTCAAAGAATTCTGACAACTTGTTATCAACTTCACGAACTTTCTGATTGTTTGTGACCTCCAAACACTAGTAGCCACAACATTTGTCCTCAAAGTAGGTTCTTCAATACCATGACTACACATGGCAGCCTTTGTCCATCGTTTCATTATATACTCTTGTGGAATATTACGCACACAATGCAAATGATATACTCGAAGAGAATGAGAACAAAGTAAACCAGTCTCACTAAAGTGCATGCATGTGCAACAAACTGCATGTGTTTCCTTATTAAAAACAACTTCATGCTTAATTATATCCTTCCCAGGCCTCCAAAGAAGATATGAATATTCTGGAAAACGCAAACCATTATCAACATGATCATAAGCTGTCCCCCTAATGAACTCCTCTTCAAAAAGCACATAATAAGCTTGAATAGTGTACAATGATCTTGCATGAACTAATATACCAATATTAGCAAAAGCTAGGTGCCTATTACCCCTCAAAGTATTATAATCTCTTCCACCTTCCTTACTTCTCCACTCAGAAACGACATCAAGAAAAACATGATAAAAATCACATAAACCTTGAGTCTTATTAAGACGTTGTGAAACTGACTTATTAGTAGTTTCACTACGTTGAGAGGACAATATACCACCAGACCAATACTTCTTAGAATAAGCAGGACACCACATTTCCTTTATTTTATACAAATCATATAACTAATCATCATTTTCACATTTGTATTTATCACACATCCTGTATAACAGAAATGATCATATATTAATTGAAAAATGAACAAAATATAAATTAAAAATATGTACATTTGTATAAAGAATAATGATCATAAACAATATGGACACTAATAATATTATGATAACATACAAAAAAAAGAAAAAACTGTATGATCATATATAAAACACTAAATGTTCATATCTATAACACATAATAATCAAATTTATAACATAATAAAAATAAAAAATAAATACATAAAACAATAATTTACCTTTTCCAGAAATACTCAAATTCAGCAGGAGTTTCACAATACTTCAAAAGATATCCAAAAAAATCTGTAAAGCCTTCCAAAGCTCTCAATGCTTCAATGTGTTTCTTAGAATTTTGTTCAAGATGCCATACACATAAACGATGATGAACAGTTGAAGGAAAAATGTTTCTTATACCCGCTGCAATTGCTTGTGCTTGATCAGTCATAATTGTAATGGGACTTTTCCTTCCCATTGAGTGCAAAAATGTGTCAAAAAAACCAATCAAAAGACTTGGTGCGCTCATTAAGAATAAAACCCATACCAAACATGACATTGTTACCATGTTGGTTCATCCCAACAAATGGAGCACATATCATTCCATATATATTAGTTCTATAAGTTGTATAAAAACCAGCAAATCTCCAAAGTAATGATAATCTCTCATCATCCTACCATAACGCCAAAAAAAAACTAACTAAAGCACCACTATCATCTTGTTCAAAATCATAATAAAAATCTGCCTTATCCACATGTCTCTTAGCAAAATATTTCATCAATTGGTTACTATCACATCCTTCAATTTGGGCAGCTTTTTCAGATGACAATGCATTATACGCATCAGAAGCAGTAAAAGAAAGATTAGGAGATCCACCAACCTCCTTCTTTAGAACCCTCAAAGAATCAGTAACTTTGACTCCGCTCAATTTCATTGTTGAAATGAAAAGAAGTTGCTCTTTATTTACATCCCTTTGAGACCTTATCAAATGCCTTTTTTCAGGAGGAATCATAGCATGATTATGAACCATTTCATGTCTTGTACATGTATAGACCCCTAAATGATCAATATGAAACTGCAAAAAAGCTAAACAACCAGTTCGATGATCCAACTTCTCATAAATCCTTTTATTCTTACACTTATTATCTTTGAATCCCTCATTACAACAAACAAATCTTTTCATCAAAAAAGAATCATCTCTTCTTCTCTTACTCTTCCTAATTCGAATTCCAAAACCTTTCCTAAAAGCATATTCATTATACGCTTCAAAAGCTTCATCTTCAGATTTAAATTCTTTATCCTTTAATTCAGACTTTTCTGCTTCTAAATAAACAATATCATACTTTTTTTCCACTGCACAAAGTTTTAATATACAATTATAAATGATCATAAAGAGTTTCATGAATGAACAATAAAAAATAAGTAAAATGTTCAATATTAAAACAACACATGATCAATTGCAAAAATTTCAACACATAATATTTTAAACAGTATCTTCATTATTTACCACTACACATAATATCGATATAAAAATGTAAAAATAAATGATAAAAAATGACTTTGAGACTGAACATAAACAAATTAATAACTACAAATAAGAAAACATAAATGATTAATTGAAAGTATAAAATTAATCTAAAAAATATACAACAAAAACACACAATTCTAAAACACAGAGAAAACAAACAAAGCAACAAAATGTTCATACAAAGTATAACAATCGAATTACATAATCATTATAATGTAATCAAAGTAGTAAATTCAAAAATCGAAGATGAATAATAATACATAAATTAAGTTCAAATAAACAGAACATTATAACAGAACAAAGTAGAGATGATTAAAAATTGCAAAATTATGATCACAATTACTCACTTTGTTGAAGCAACGAATCAACCAAACGAACTCCAGAAGGAAACACACGCTCGCAATCACGATCAAAATCAACGCAATCTCCAGATGCAGAATTCGCCATTGATGATCGGTAACAATTATCAAATTCGTAAAAAAAATCAAATGAAGAAAATGAAATAACGAGAGAAAATGTAGATCAAAAATAGAGGTTAATCAATTGAAGAGAGAGAAAAAATAGGGTGTAAAATCATATATATACATAGCTTGAATAATAAGAAACAAAGAAAAAAGGAAAAAAGAGGAAGAAAAAAAAAAAGGAAAGAATGGCAAATGAAGCTGCACATGAGAACTCCACCCCAGCTACAAAACGACGTAGCTTAAGGGGGGTGTAGGGAACACACCCTACACTAGGGTGTAGGGTAAAATTTTCAAATATTCATCGGAATTGGGCTTATAATATATCGTTGGAAAGCTCTTTTCAAGCCTTATCCAACTACACTACTATCGGACCCATATCATGGATCAACCAAACTGGATTGGCTGTTTTCTTAAAATAAGTTTTCAAAAACAGAGAGAAGAGAAAAGAAATTAAAACTATCCGCAACACTAAACTTTCCACACTTTCACTTCATTCGATTATGATTCGAGCGAAAGGTACTCATCATCGGGTTTGGTTTTGGGGAGACACAAATGGGTGTCTACAGTTTGGGTCAGTATGGGCAATGGATTGAGGTGTTTCAGCATTGTTTGTTTCATTTTCTACAGTAGTATGGTCATGCTCACCATCAAAAGAGTTTATAGGTAAGTTTGTAGCTTGGTTTCGGTTCAGAAAATTTGGAAAAGGTTTCATGTATTTGTCTAGGGATTGAACTTGGAAAGGAAATATGGTTTCATGAAAACTCACATCTCTTGAAACAAATATTTTCTTTGTTTTCAAGTCAAGCAATCTGTAACCTTTTTGTGTGGCTGGGTAACCAAGGAAGACACAAGGGATTCCTCTAGGCTCAAACTTGTCCTTGATCAAGGATTGGTTGGCAGCAAATACCAAACACCCAAAAACTTTTATGTAATCATATTTGGGTCTGGTTTTAAACAGCATCTCATATGGAGTTTTGTTCTTCAAAATTGGGGTAGTTAGTCTGTTAATGATGTGAACAACAGTCATCACACATTCACCCCAATAAGTCAATGCCAAACCAGCTTGAAATCTTATAGCCCTTGATATTTCAAGAAGATGCCTGTGTTTTCTTTCAGCTCTTGCAATTTGTTGTGGTTTGTCCACACAAGAAGTTTGATGTATTATGCCCAACTCAGCAAAGAACTCTTGATAGGGTTTGTCATGAAACTCCAAGGCATTGTCAGATCTCAAAATTTTTATTTTGGAGTTAAAATGAGTTTTGACATATGCTGAGAAGGATTTCAGTTGATTTAAGGAGTCAGATTTGTGCTGAAGCAAGTACACCCAAGTATTTCTGGAGTAGTCATCAACTATGGTGAGAAAATATATGTACTTTTCTCTAGTGCAGACCTTATATGGCCCCCAGATATCCATGTGAATCAATTCAAAAGGTTCTGCAGCATGAGACTCACTCAACTGATATGGCAGCTTTGTAAATTTAGCCATTGGACAGGTTACACATATCTAGCTATTCTCCTTGATAGTCTTCTTTACACAGGGAATGTGATGTAATTTTTTAACATAAGCATGCCCCAGTTTATGATGCCAGACATCAAAAGGTACATGAACTGGTTCATTTTGTGCTGCAAGACATGTATGAATATTTTGTTCTTTAGTCAACAAATCTGCTCCCAAGGGTTGATTGACCAAGTAATAAAGGCCATTTTTGACTTTTCCAACTCCCTTGATTTTCTTTGTGAGAATGTCTCTGATTACACAGTGTGTACCATAGAAACTCACCTCACACTGTGAGTCTTTGATCAGTTTTGGTACTGACAAAAGATTATATCTGAACTTTGGTACACAGAGTACATTATGTAGATTCAAAGAGTTACACAAGTTCACATTACCAGTGTGAGAGATAGATGCTGAGTCACCTGTAGGCAGAGTTATTTTAGGTAGAGCAACAGCTGGTTCAGGATCTGTGAATTTGCTCAGATCATATGTCATGTGATCTGAAGCCCCAGAGTCAATTATCCATCCATTAAAGACAGATTCAGCATGGTTATAGGACACCATTCCTGAGAAACTATTGTCTAATTCCTCATCAGTTTCACTTCCCTTTGCTGTGCTGGAAGATGGAATGTGTTTGAGAAGTTGTTCAAATTGTTGAGAGGTTAGGGTTATGTTACCTCCCTGTGCAGTAGATAACTGAGCTGCAGCAGCCATTTTAGGCTTGAATTTGTTGTTGTTCCAAGATTGGCTAAAGGATCTTTCCTTATTTCCTGTATTGACAGGATTTAATCTTGGCTTGTCCTGTTTCTTTGGGAAACCATGGAGATACCAACACTTGCTTTGGTTATGACCTTTCCCACCACAGTGAGAGCAAGTTACAGTTGGTTTTGCAGGAATCTGTCTGCTGTACATTGCAGATATATCAGTGTCAACCTTAGAAATCAGAACTTCCCTCTGACTTTCTTCTTGTTGTAGCATAGAACAGGCAGACTCTACTGTGGGAAGAGGAGTGAGCATGAGCATTTGGCTTCTCATTGCAGCATAATGATCATCAAGACCATTCAAAAACTGGAATCAACGACTCTCTTTCCTGGTTTCTAGCTACTGTATTCAACAAGGTTTCTCACCTCAGCAGACATTTCACTAATAACAGGCAAGGCATTCATGGAATCTAGTTCTTCCCATAAGCTAGAAATAGCAGTGTAATATTCATTAATGGTATTACTGTTCTGTTTCAGTTGATAAAGATCTTTGTTCAACTTATATTTCCTAGATCCATTTGCCATAGATCTTTTTTCAAGTTGAACCCATGTTTCTCTAGCAGTATTGACATAAAGCACATATTTTTTAATAGTATCTGAAAGACAAGCATGGATCCAAGATATTACCATAGAGTTGCAAGTGTCCCATTGATCTGCTTTCATAGCATCTGCAGCATAAGTAGAT